GGCCTTTCCGGGGGTCCGTCGCTCCTCGTCGCGGCGGTGGCTGCTGGTGGGGGTGGTGGGGGTGGTGGCCGTCGTCCTGATGGCGTCCTTTTTGCTGCTGCTGGCCGTTTTGATGGGCGGCTACGACGGGGATTGGCGTGAGCCCCGTGGTGGGGCGTCCCGCCTGACGCCGCAGGAGGGTTCTTTGGGGAGGCCGATGTTCTGGAATGACGACGCACCAAGGGTACCACTGAGCGTTACGGTGATGCGCGAGCTCTTGGGTATCGTCGATGAGGGTCGGTTGTGGGTGAATCCAAATAGTGCCGCCTCGGCCGCTGTGCGCCGCCAGGTGCAGCACCTGCGGGAGTTGCATGGATTGCTGGAGGTGGTTGACATGGCTGACGGGACAAGGGGTGTTGAAAGGTTTTTGCGCCTCGCACGGTTCCTGCAGGCTGTGAAGCTGGTTGGGTGGGATCTTCCTACGGATATTGGAGTCTATGAGGATGTCCATCGGGGTGCTGACGGCTCGTCGGATTTCCCGCGACGGGTCGTTCCTGAGGTGGAGGTCCGACAGCCGTTCGACGAGATCGAGTTACTAAAAGAGAGGCATGCGGGGAAGCGTGACGCGACTCTGAGAGGTAATGAGCTGCCGGCCGAGTGCCTTAATATTTTTTCTGACACCCATTTTAAAAATGTGGAGGATGTGGGGGACGTAAGCACCGATGTAGTGTGTGCCAAAGAGTTGTATGCGCGTGCAGCGCAGAGTGCGGCGTTATACAATATATCATCTGCACTGAACCAGCGCTACTATTATCCAATGCGACGTTGGGAACGTCTGCAGCCTGTATCGGGTGCATCAGTGAGCGCTACCGATGCGTGGTTCACGGCTTTATCTGCAGAGGCAGGTTACTACGCGGGGGTAGGCGATAAGCTTAGCGAGGACATGCCCACGAACGTCGTGGATGCACGCCAGCCGGTGTCACTGCTACGTGTGTCGCGTATGGGCAAATCACGATGGGGTAGCATAGAGCCTTACCTTACAGCTGCGGATAGGTCGACAATTTTTGTGATGATCGCAAGCTATCGAGATTCGTTATGCGGGTCAACGATAGAAGATCTGATACGCAAGGCAAAGAATGTTCATCGTGTGCATGTGGGGATCACTCAGCAGAATGCTGTGGGTGATTTGAGCTGCCTACCAGACATTGTGTTTACGCCGATTCCCTGCTTTGCGCTGCTGTTAAGTCCAGGTGATGAGGCATCTGACGAGGAAGTGGCGCGGCGGCGGGTATTCTCTGATGGCGACTCGCCGATCGGCTCCTCGCATCGACTGTGCTTTTTCCATGACAACATTCGCATTCGTGAAATGCTGTCAACCCAAGCGCGCGGGCCGACCTTCGCGCGCTACTTGAATATGCTTTTGTATCGCGGTGAGTCGTTGTTGATGGTGTTGGATTCCCACAACCGCTTCAAGCCGCACTGGGATTCGCTGGTAACGAATTTATACTACCAGTACGAGGACCCCAAGGCGGTGCTCTCACACTACCCACTCTCTCTCACTGATTATGGTAGAAGGGCTAGCGACTCTGACTTCAACGAGCCCTTGTCGTATCTTTGTGGTGCCTTTTTCCTTGAATACTTAGGCTATCCTGTGCTTAGTGGGTCTTTGACTTACTTTCCTGAACATCACTACTCTAATCTTCGCTACAACGACCCCTATGTAGTAGTTCAATCAAAGGATATTCGACCCTCAGAAAACTTTCGATTTCCTCAACCATGGGCTGCAGCTGGGTTTATGTTTGGCTCTGCGCTCATCATGCGCGAGGTCCCGTTTGATCCTCATCTTAGTAATATTTTTATGGGTGAGGAGATACTCTTTAGTGTGCGGTTATGGACGCATGGGTACAACATGTACTCTCCAATATACTCTATCGTGTATCATTACTACTTTCGTGAGGATTCACCGAAGGTGTGGGATGAATTGCCGTTGTGGTCAACCCTAGGCCTGATGTCTAGGAAGCGAATTCATTACCTTCTCCGGAGCCGTGTGGAACCCAGCAAGCATGCCGCTTCTAACAGCTCGGAGGCTCCGCTGATCGTTCCGCCCTCGACGCGGGAGGCTGTGGTGCTGTTGGATGTGGATCGCTACGGCATGGGCAAAGTGAGGACTGTGGAGCAGTGGTACGATTACGCGGGGGTGGATCCGGTCAATTACACCGTGGACGGCCGATGGTGCGGCAAGCATCAGGACACCAAGTAGCGCCTACATAAATGTATCTCTCTATCTCTCTATTCTTTTTATACCTTGCGTATATATGTTTGCCTATCGTTTACTTATTTTTTTTCCAACACATCGCCTTTGTGTTCTACCGTGAAAGTGTTTCCTCTTTCTGTACGGAGTAGGATGAGTTGCAAGAATCTCATTGAAGCTTTGGTATGCCGAAACATGTGAGAGAATTTGGGACCTCAAGAGTAAAATATCACGTTTTTCTATGTTCATTCCATGAAAAGTATATCCATCATTTCTGCGAATGTTGGTGAATCGTAGAATTTATGTACCTTTTTCGTTTGCATGCACATGTTACAATTAGTATGTATCCAATGAGATGCTTAACCATTACATTATTTTTTTAATTTTAATATTCTTTCTACTTCTTTTGAAACCCCGTGAAAAGAATGTGTCCACTGAGTCGAGCATATTTGTGCACTCGTAAAAATTCCAAGGAGTTCTGATAGACTTATACTTCATAGTAAAATACCTCAAATGTTTTTTAACTTTCTTCGATTCATGCAAGACTATGAAACCCGATTCTTGCATTAAGATAGTGTCTTTTTTCACTAAACCTGTTTTGTTATTCTCTACGTGGGCGCGTTTTCATTGGAGCACCTCATTTGAATCCCTATTTGGCAACTGCATTGTTGCAATTGCCAGAATGTGTGATGGGTGGGTGACCAGTATTTTATAATGTAATAGTATATTTTTTCGCGTTGTACACTGAGTAAAACTATTTACTATGATTGATTTATATAAGAGTTAACCCAATGCATTT